CCCCTTATAAGACCCCAATAAGGTAACCCTTATTTCGGAAACCCCCGTATGACCGAATGACTTTAAGGTCCAGGGTCGTGTACTTCAGTCACTGCAGTGGTAACTCAAGCGTCGCGAAACAGATGAAACGGCCAGCTATGCTCAGGCTGCGACAGAAACTACGTTGATAGCATTTGGACTACGTAGTAGTGAAACTAGCGGATGGTAGCTGGTTGGCAACGATTTCTTCTTCTGTCGAGGACTTTACAGACTAGTTGTCGCCACTGTCAAAGACCTTCAGCACAGGACCGAGTATGCAGCAACATCATGTCGTGCATTACAAGCGGCTGCGCCCAGCGCAGCTTCTGGTTGAAGTCGATGATCAACTGGCTTTGCAAGTGTTAGAACTCCTAAACCCCAAGCCCCAAGCCCTAAACCCGAAGCTCCCGCCATCTCTACTGGATCCTTCCCGCGACTGGCTATACAATATGGTCACTTCTCAAAAGTATGATCCCTTTCACCCTAAAAACTAGGGGGCCCCTATGTAATCGTAACCGTAAATTAGAGAAGTGACCATCGGTACTCCTGCGTAGCATGGCTTGACCACGGCCGCACTTTTTGAGGAATATTAGGAACCCTTGGACTGGCAAACAGTATTTCATGGGGGGAACACCTGAGGCATCCGCTGGTTATTTAAGACGCTTGGATTAGGAAGTCGAACGTTCCCTTGGATTGAGGCGGCGTTTTGGAAAACCGGCGGCCAATTTGTCCCCCCCACAAGGCTTCTCGTCCATGCCACTACTTCGGGCATAAGACTTCTAAGGGCTCAGGGTTTATAGGTTGGGATGCTCCCCCCTCTTTTTCTCACAGTCCTTCATAGGGAGTATTATAGTACCCCCTATGATAATCCCGATTAAGGACTGGAAGTAGTAGGGCGAACATCCCAATTCATAGAGTTCCCTTAGCCCTTTGTTTTTTCCCCTTGGCCTCATAGTCGTAGTCAAAGACCCCGACCAGCCCAGGCTCGCCTCACACTCGCGCGCGGCAGGCAACGGTTTAGGGCTTTTTGCCACCCGCCTAGCTGATGCATCACATTTTAGGGTCTAGGGCAGTTTACGGTTTTTTGGCTTGGGGTCTACGGGCGGCAGGCTTCACACTAGAACCCCCTCTCAAAGGTCAACCTCAGCCTGCCCACATCACTCCAAGGGTT